GAGCACACCATCAGCCAAAGTTCACATCAACAGTTCATTGGTCCCCTACTACCCAACTTTACTCCTCGCTCTCCATCCAGAAACCCATTCTTTTACTTCCTCCCTATTGACGACGCATCATGAACGTTGACGACGTAGAGGACAGGGACGGCGTCAGGCTATCCTGGAACGTCTGGCCATCCTCCAGGATCGAAGCCACCAGGACCGTCGTCCCCATCTCGGCTCTCTACACCCCGCTCAAGGAGAGGGATGACCTTCCCCCCGTCCTGTACGAACCCGTCACCTGCAAGCCCCCTTGTAGGGCCGTCCTCAACCCTTACTGGTAAGTCTTGCTGAAGCTTGATCAGGACGAGCATACCTGCGTCATCGGGCCATCTCTCTGCGATGGCGCTGTGTGGGAGCTCTACCTCTGCTCATCGCGGAAGAATGTTTGAAAGTGATGATAATCCCATCCGATGACCCACGCACGCCTCTTACCTTCCGGTCTACAGCCAGATCGACGTTCGCGGGAAGCTTTGGATCTGTCCCTTCTGTCTCTCTCGGAACGCCTTCCCACCTCACTACAAGGATATCAGCAACACCAACCTCCCAGCCGAGCTACTTCCCAAGTATACCACCATCGAGTACACGCTCAGCCGACCTGCCCAGATCCCACCCATCTTCCTCTACGTCGTCGACACGTGCATGGACGATGATGACCTCAAGGCGCTCAAGGAGGCTCTCGTTGTCAGCTTGAGCTTGCTCCCACCTAACGCCCTCGTCGGCCTCATCACCTACGGCACCATGGCTCAGGTCCACGAGCTTGGCTACGAGGCTTGCCCCAAAAGCTACGTCTTCCGAGGCACCAAGGAGTACGCCCCCAAGAACATTCAGGACATGCTCGGCCTTACCGCCGGGACTCGTCCGGTCGCGCCTGGTGCTCCCGGAGGTCCGTCCCAGCCACCTCGTCCGCCAAATGCTGCTGGGCAGATGGGCGCCTCCCGTTTCCTCTTGCCCGTCTCTCAATGCGAGTTCCAGCTCACCCAGATCCTCGAGAACCTCCAGAAGGACCCGTGGCCTGTCGCCAACGACAAGAGGAGTCAGAGGTGCACCGGTGTCGCCTTGAGTGTCGCCGTCGGTATGCTCGAGACCACCTTCCCCAACACCGGTGCCCGTGTCATGCTCTTCTGTGGTGGCCCCGCGACCGAGGGCCCAGGTAACGTAGTCTCGACCGAACTCCGCGAGCGAATCCGATCCCACCACGACATCGACAAGGACAATGTCAAGTACTACAAGCGCGCGACCAAGTTCTACGATGCTCTGGCCAAGCGTGCCGCTGGCAACGGTCACACCATCGATGTCTTCGCTGGCTGCCTCGACCAGGTAGGACTTCTCGAGATGAAGGGCTTGAGCAACCTCACCAACGGCCATATGATCCTCGCTGACAGCTTCCAGATGGGGATCTTCAAGCAGAGTTTCAACAAGATTTTCGCCAAGGACGACCAGGGTCACCTTCAGATGGGCTTCAACGCCACCCTTGACGTCCAATGCACAAAAGAGCTCAAGGTCTCGGGCTTGATTGGCCACGCCGTCTCAGCCAACAAGAAGTCAGGATGCGTCGGCGAGACCGAGATCGGTATCGGTCAGACCTCGGCCTGGAAGTTTTCTTCGGTCACTCCAAAGACATCGGCCGGTGTCTACTTCGAGGTTGTCACGCCCGCAGGGCAACCTTTGCAACCAGGCTCGAGGGGTCTCATCCAATTCGTCACCCACTACCAACACGCTTCTGGCCAGTACCGACTGCGCGTCACGACCATCGCCAGGAACTTTGCCGAGGGTGGCTCTGCCCAGATCGCCAGCTCGTTTGACCAGGAGGCCGCCGCGGTGCTCATGGCGAGGATCGCCGTCTTCAAGGCCGAGATAGACGACTCTCCAGACGTGCTGAGGTGGCTCGACAGGATGCTGATCAGGCTCTGTCAGAAGTTTGCAGACTACAGGAAGGACGACCCGACCTCGTTCAGGCTCGGTGAAAACTTCAGCATCTACCCGCAGTTCATGTTCCACCTCCGAAGATCCCAATTCCTCCAGGTCTTCAACAACTCTCCGGACGAGACCGCTTTCTACAGGCACGTCCTCAACTCAGAGGACGTCAACAATTCGCTCATCATGATCCAGCCCACGCTCATGTCGTACGGGTTCGACGCGCCGCCGCAACCAGTACTCCTCGACTCGGTCTCCATCAGGCCAGATGTCGTCTTACTTCTGGACACCTTCTTCCACATCCTCATCTTCCACGGTGAGACTGTGGCGCAGTGGAGGAAGGCCGGGTACCAAGATCAGGAGGGTTACGAGAACTTTAAAGAGGTGCTCGAGAATCCAAAGGTGGACGCGCAGGTGAGTAGAACAGCAAGCGGGGAGCAAGCTCGACCATCAGGCCTTTCGCCACTTTTCCTTCATCGCAAGCATACCCCCTTTCCGACCACACACACACAGAAACCCACACAAACAATCGTTTTTTTTGCTGACTTTCGATCTCAACCCCACCCTTTCACGGTTATCAAATCTAACTACAGGACCTGCTGGCGGATCGTTTCCCCATCCCGCGATACATTGTATGCGACCAGAATGGCTCCCAGGCACGTTTCCTTCTTTCCAAGCTCAACCCATCCACAACGCACATGTCGGGAGGAATGTACGGCACCCAGGGAAGCGGAGCAGCCATCTTTACGGACGATGTCAGCCTCCAAGTCTTCATGGAGCACCTCAAGAGGCTGGCTGTCGGCGCAAGCAGCAGCTAAGGTGTGGGATAGGAACCAAAAAAAAAGGAGGGAAAACGAGCAGCATGCAAGATTTCTCCCAAACTGATGGGCTCGACCGTGAACTTGCAAGCGCGCCCCTCTTCCCCCCACCCTCTTTCACCCGTCCTATCACAATCAAACAGCGACAGGAAACAAACCCAACCCCAACCCCCACTTTCTCCTGCGCGAAGTTGTTTGCATATTCCACTTACGATTTGTGAAGAGAAGAAAAATGATGGCATCTTCATCCTGATCCCTTTCACCTGTCCGCCTTGTTTCCCGACCATCCATTCCCTCCCCTTCTGTGCTTGTCCCGATCTCTGACCTTCTTAACCTCCGCCCCCCTTCGCTTTTGACCCTTCTTCCTGAAAAATCAAAGCTATGAAGATCGACGGCTCCGCCGCTGGGGGTTAGGAGTCCACGCACGCATGTGGACGTCAAGCACTAACTCGAGTCATCTCACCAGCCGGGGAGAGCCTTTGGGGCGGGGGAGGGGATGTGGTTGACGGAATCTATTCAGACGCGAACCGGACCGAATCGTTTTTACAGAGCCTTGATTTAGGACAAGGGGATCCTAGTGAAGGAGGATGGAAAAGGGGGCAGGGTTGCATTTCCTGTTCGGAGAAAGAGTGGTGGTTGCGTTTTGGAGGAAGGGGCAAAGATGGAAACGGGGATGGGAGCGAGGGCAGAGAGGGAGAGAGATGTTGATGTTTTTTTCCCTACTTCTTTTCTTCCATATATGTTCTTGCCCTTCAGGCCTTCTCCCTCACCCCTTTCCCCTCGTCTATGTCTAGGCTCATCCCTAACTTTCCGACATTGCCGTTGGCAAAGAACATCGCTTGTGATCGATAATCCTTCCTGAATCTCGGTCAACGTCTTCCCGCTATTCGATCTCGCTCTCTCAGACCCACGCGAAACGCTCGGAATCATCGGGAAACGTTCTTCTCCAGCAGGTCCTTGGCCTCGTTGATCTCTTTTGATTTGGATGGGTGGAGGATCACCATCATGCAAAGAAAGAGCGGGTTTGGAGGATATTCGGACTGGTTCAGTTTCATTTCTTCTAGCTTTTTCCTTGGTACTCCCGTCCCCTCCCCCCTTCCCCCTTCATTCAAGAGAAGGGAAGTCGTTGGGTTACTGATCATAGTAGGAAAAGTGGGAAAACTCACTGCTAGCGAGGTAAGGCGAGCCACCCCTGTCTGGGTGGTTGGCGATCATCATCCTCCTGTGAGCTTCCTTGACCTTGGCTCTGGTAAGAGCGGTCTCCCTGTTGCCCACGTTTTTATTTTTTTTTAATATTTTGTGAAGTGGGAAAGGTTAGGAAGAAAGAAAATAAGGAGAGGAGAGGAATACGAGAGGTAGAGCCACAAATCGAAAACCACTCAGTAAGGGAACCGAAAAAAAATTGGTAAACCACAAATGACAAAGAAACAGATGAATCAAATAACTCACCTCAATCCCAAGACCTGAGCGGCCTCTTTCTTGTCCATCTTCTTGTTGAACCCGCCCTTGATCCACTTGCCTCCCGAGGGACCAGCGCTCTTCGGCTTGAGAAGCATCTGAGCCACCAGGCCAACGCCTACCAAGCCCGCTCCGATCAGGATGGGAGTGGTCATCTGGTTGCTTCGAGTGTGCTGGAAGAGCAGTTGAGAGGTGGGCCTGAAGGGGTTGGAGACCGACCTGGAAAAGTGGCCAACACCACCTCCGGGTGCAGCAGAGCGCACGTCCGACGCCTTTCCTTCCAACACTCTCTTCTTGGCGACCGAACCGACGAAAGTGCTTAGGGTTCTGCTAGATCCAGTCGCCACAGAGTTCATTTCGTTGCGCGAAGATCGCAAGAGGTTTCGGGATGCTGTTGATGCTAGAGCGTTCATCTTTGGTGGTCCTCTTTCGTTTACTTTCTCTTCACCTTTGTTTTTCGCCTTCTCTACCTTGATGCGTGGGTGGGTTTTGGGATGCTTGCTGAGCAAGTTCTACGTCAGGCACCTTTTCGAGTTTGGTTGGGCCAGAGGTACGATAGCGTTGGTTGGTCGAATGTGGGATGTGAGGATAGTTGACAGAGAGAGGGGAGGTGTGAGGGGAGAGGGGATAAGGTGGTTGTACGGATGGGGGGAGGCAGAAGTTTCACCACCCCTTCTAGAAACTCGCTTACATAACCAGTAGAAGTCCCCAAGAAACTAATTGAGTAAATGTATATTTTTACTATAAAATGGGTAATAACATGTGTTCTGGTTAGTTTAGTGGCTATGACGGCGCCTTGTCATCACAGGTTGCGCTCGGCGCAGACCCGGGTTCAATTCCCGGACCGGAAGTTCTCTTTTTGCTCTTTGTGGTTTTCCTTCCACAGACTCCCATTTCAGAGGTGATTGGCCGAAACAGCCGAAACCCATTTTTTTTTCCCTTTCGGATCGCCTCGAAGTGCGCAAGGCCTTTTCCACAATTAGACCAACAGGCTCTACGATAGACACTGTCATCTCGAAGGTGGGGAAGGGAGGAGAGGGAGAAAGAGATCGAAGCTTTTCCATGCCCTCGATAGACATTATTGAGTGATAGTCCGCTAACAAAATAGTCCTCATGACGACCGCTCGCCCTTTTCCTCAAGAAATCAATGAAAAAGCAGTGGCAGAACCCACTTTCCCACGCAGGCATAGGCTGGTTAGATCGAGCTGTTGATGGAGGCGAGATAATAACGGGTGGGATAGCAATAACATGAGCAACCGAGCCAAATGAGGAAGGTGGAGGGAAGTAGGTAAGAAGAAAGAGTGACGGGGAAACACGAAAGCCAACACACGCAAGGTCCCTAGTCAAAATTTGACCGACATGGTGACGACCTTGCTGGTGTTATTCCATGTTGCAGAGGCATGGAACGTAAAGGTCACAAGGGAGAATCTTTCTCTCATGCTCTGCTTAAAGGAGGGGGCAGTGGGGGGGGGGGGGGGGGGGGGGGGGGGGGGGATACGTGGGTGGGGGCGGCGTCAGTTGGAAGGGAGAAATGGAGAAATACGTGGGAGCGAGAGAGTTGTTCGAACCAAAGCAGGTCTCACCGGAAGACATCGAGATCACCACCATTGTCCATGCCAAATTTATCGCTTCTTGAGAACCACCTCGTCTAGGGGGGTTTTTTTGGGGGGGGGG